TGCCTTTCTGTGGTGTATCTCCGTCGGCAAATGTGGTGGTTTGGGCTCCCCCTGGTTCGATTCCAGGTTCCTTTGGGTTCTTTGGTTTTGTTCCAGATGTTCCTCTTGGGCCTCCTTTTGTGGGTTCAGGGGGCTTTGTTTCCTCGTGTGTAACCCGGTTCTGCCTTCTGGGGTTCCGGGGTCTTCCTAGCTTGCAGACTGATCTTTTTGGATCTCGGCACATGTTGTGGTCGTGCTGAGACTTTGGGGTTTTGTTGTCGAGGTGGGCCTTTTGATGCAGTTTTGTGCCTTCTTTGCCTGGCCGGCATGGTGCTCTCTGCCCACTGCTCGGTGGCTTGTAATTTTCTTTTCACGTGTATGTGTGTGTGTGCGCATGTGCATGTGTACACTGTGTGTGTGTGTGTGTGTGTGTGTGTGTGTGTGTGTGTGTGTGTGTGTGTGTGCGCACATGTATATGTGCATGTGCACGGGTGTATACACCTTGTGTGTGTGTGTAATTATATGTATATGTACATAATATACATGTATATATATGTGTATATGCAAACAATCCTGAACGGTCTCCAGGCATATATGCAACTGAAAACTCACACCCCAGAAGTGACTCGAACCCATACTGCCAGAAGCAATGCAACTAACATACAGGATCCCTTAACCACTCGACCAACATGACCGGACAAAAGACGATGGTAGCCGAGGCTAATTCCCCATCCCCCCGCCGGCACTTTGTTGGTAATCTTGGGCATGGTATTTTATCAAATCACCTCATTCTTTGGAGCACATGTGAGGAACACAAATGCGAACAAGCCTAAATGGTCTCCAGGCATATATGCAACTGAAAACTCAAGAAATATGTGTATATATGTATGTATACTTTTTCTTTCGGAAGGGACTCTTGTTCCCTTCGTTGTTGACGCTGAGGGAGCAGCTTGCTCTGTTGACTCTCGCATGGTCCCGCAGTTAGTGGGCGCTTTTGGTTGTCTTCCGGCCTTTGGTGGCAGCGACAGACGGCTTCTGTCCCTTTGCGGAGGGTTCAGGGCTGGCGGGGTGGGGTTCTTCCCCTGTGCTTCGTCATGTCATCTTTGCGGGTGTGTTGGACGTGGTCGATCTGCCCATCCTTCTGGGGTTCCCGTCTGCTCTATGCAGACACCGGCATGGCGAATCTGCCGTTCTTCTGGACTTCTTCAGTATGCTCCCTGGATTCTATGTCCTCATCGGAGGACTGTTGTCTCCGGTCCGGCTTCTGTTGGGGCTGGGTGCCTGGATGGTGGCCCTGGACCTCCAGGTCAATTCTTGTCACGTTCTTCTCCAGTTTTCCAGGACTGGCACAGTTGGTGGTGGGGCTTCAGGTTTGCCGCTTTTGTTGCCTTCCCTAGTTTGTAATTGGCACTTGGTGTATTTACGCATCTTTACCGGATCTTGGTGCCCAGTCTGAGTCTTTGGATTCGGTGTCTGGCCTACCTCGACGACTGGCTGGTGTGGGCTACCAGTCAGTCCGCTTGTCGGCTCACCAGGTGTTCTTTTCAGATCGCCGGGTTTGGATTCCTGGTGATCTAGAGGCTGTTCCATCTGTTTTCGTCCCGGGTTCGGACCTGGCTGGGTCTTGTTTAGGGCTCATGGGCCGTTCCTTGTCCTTCCCTCCAGAAGTGTTGCTGCGGCTGTGGTCCCGCCTTCGGTTGTTCACGAGGGTTGATCCCGCGTTGCTCGGCGGTTGCTTGAGCAGTTGTGTGGGAGTCTGAACTTTGACGTGCTGGTCTGCCCCCAAGGTCGGGTTTGGCTTCGGCGTCTGTTTGGTTCCTTCGGAGACTTCCCTTCCGCCTCTCTTGCAATCGTTGGGTTCGTTCCTCCGGGGATCTTGTGTTGGTGCTGCATCACCAGCCTCCTCTTTGGGGTTTTCAGGGTTCCGTGCCTTGGCACCTCCCCGAGCCTTCGCACGATGTGTTCATGGACGGGTCATCTCTCGGCTGGGACTTTGTGACCAGTGCTCACCAGGTCGGCCGGGGAAGGTGGGGTTTGTCCATCTGTCGGGCTCACAGCACAGTTCGGGAGTTCGTGGGTGTCTGGTTTGTGCTTCGGAGGGTTCGGGTCACTCGGTGCTCTACCATTCAGCTCCATTCGGACTGTTCTCTGGCAGTTCTTTGCCGGAACCACAGGGTTTCTCTTAGGTGTTTGCCTTTGGGGTTGGTCCCTTCGAGTGGCTCATTTGCTAGATTCTCGGGGTTTGGCTAACCGTGAGGTTCATGTCTGGGGTGTGTCCTACGTCCTGGCAGACAGCCTGTCTCGGTTCATTCCTCTGTTAGTAGATTGGCCAGTCGTCGTCGGCTCGTTTTGTTGGCTCTGCCGGACGTATAGACTCCTGGCCATGGACGTCTTCAAGTCGGCGTGGTCTAGGCGTCGCCCATTCTATGTGGCGCCCTTACCCGCCTGCAAAGCATTCACGGTGGATGCCTTTCGGCAGGACTGGTCAAGGTGGGGGAACCTGTTCCTCTTCTCCCGGTCCAGCTGTTGCTTCGAGTTCTGGCTCGGTTGGAGCCCATTCCCAAGAGAGTAATCATCATGGTCCCTTGGAGGCCGGCCCAGCTTTATTTTCAGACGATGCTTGAAAGGTGTCCGAACCCGGGGCGTTTTCCCGTAGCTCTGCCTCTTTCTGTAGGTCGGACGAGTCCTGTACGTGACTGGTTCGGCCTTCTCCTCGGCTCTTCGCGTCTGGTATTTTGACGCGGGGATCACCATCTCTGTGGTGATCAGGTGGCTTTGTTGATGATGTCCCACCTGCGAGCTTCGTCTCGGCGACAGCATGATGTTCCTGGTGTTTCTATGCACCTTTTTCTTGCTCTTCGTAGGTCGTCTTTCGCATCGGGTTGTCTTGTCCTTTCTTGGGTTTTCAGGACTATAGTAATTTGATGTTTCTTACTGTCACCTTGTTTTGTGTGGCGGTGGCGGAGCCGCTCTGGCTTGCGTTTGGGGTGGACGGCACATCTGCCCCGATCTGTACCCTTTCTCGTGTTTTGTTTCACCTCCGGTCTGCTCATGCGTCGCTTGAGCCGTCCTGGTCCTTGATCAGGGTGCCCTCTTATCTTTTCCTCAGTTTGTGGTAACCCCTTCGGTTCAGGTTTCTGCTCTTTGGTACTGGTGGTAGGTTTGTACGTTTGCAGAATTTCTCCGTCATTCTGGTGACTGTCAAGACAGCTGCTTACCGGGGGGGTCCTTGGGTTATTGATGCTTGATTGGTTCTGCTGGGGGTGCGTCCTGTGTTGTCCGGTTGCACTTTTTTGCTGTCACCTGCGTACCGTGTCTGGGGATTCGCTTTGGGTGGTTCCGGTTCTCCTCGTTCCTTGTTTCAGGGCTCAGGTCTCCCAGGTCGTCCGCAAAGTTTTTAGGTCTTCCAGCCTGCGGTCTGTCCTTGTGCCTGCACTGTTCGGACGTTTGCAGTTTTCGCCGCTGTGTTGGTGACGTCTAGGGCTCATTTCAGGCGCGACGATTTGAGGGTCGCAAAGGTTCCTGGCCGCTTGTTCTTTATGCGCGCATCTGCTCCTGTGCGTTCTTGTTGCCTTGGGCCGCAGGTTGCAGCCTGTTGTCTTGGCTTCACGTTGCAGAGTTTGAGGCAGCTGCCTCCCGGGTCAGCCCTTTCTTTTTCTTCTCTATGGGTATGAAGCTCAAGGGAGCCGTAGGGGCTCCCCACAGAAAACCAACGTTGAATGTAATGAAACGCCATTTTCTGGGTGAGCCCCGGAGGCTCCCTGGCAATCCTCCCTCCCACCGGTCGGCGGTTTTTTCGCGTTGGTTGAAGCGTAGCTTCTGAACTGATGCTAGGCAGCCGGTGTGGTGAGGTCCGGGGCTCGCCCCTTCCCCTCTCGGGGCGGGGAGGGCTGCGCGGACGATTGGCGCGGCAGTACTCACCTAATTGTACTCACCCAATTGTGCTTGCCGGGGATGAGCTTTGGTTCTTTGGTCCCGCCTCTCAACTGTCAATCAACTGGTGTACAGATTCCTGAGCCTACTGGGCTCTATCATATCTACATTTGAAATTGTGTATAGAATTAGCCTCCACCACATCACTTCCTAGTGCATTCCATTTATTAACTACTCTGACACTGAAAAAAAATTTTCTAACGTCTCTGTGGATCATCTGGGTACTAAGTTTCCACCTGTGTCCCCTTGTTCGTGTCCCACCCGTGCTGAAGAGTTTGTCTTTGTCCACCCTGTCAATTCCCCTGAGAATTTTGTAGGTGGTTATCATGTCTCCCCTTACTCTTCTGTTTTCCAGGAATGTGAAATTTAGGCAGATGTGAGGCAGTAAAGTGTGATGTTTGCTTGTTTGCTTGGTTTCTTGGGATTGTAGGGAGTTTCTACCTCTCTGTTCGGTTTTTGTTTAAGTTTTTTACCATGTGGGGTTTGTTTTGTTATGCCTATCTCTCTGGGTGCCAGACCCCGGTCGATAGCAGATAAGGAAAACCCCAACCACAAGGGGGTTTTCCAGGGCCATTGCTCCCTGAAACCTCTCTGAAGGGGGCTAGGTTCTGTCGCTGGTCCTTGGTAGGTCTGAACTCCTTAGCTAATGTCCCGGTCTAATATACCATACATTAGCCCGATAAGCTCCAGGGAGCCTCCGGGGCTCGCCTAGAAAATGGCGTTTCATTACATTCAACGCTGGTTTTATTTTATTTTATAATATTTTATTTGATTTTATTTATTTTATAAACCCATGGAACTGCCTACCTACTAAATGCGTAAATACCATAACACTGCTGAATTTCAAAATGCACAAAGTCAGTAGGACAAATGGGCACCATTGACAAGCTGTTGACTTCCTGTCCCTCATTGAAGCCACTAGAGAGATGGTGGCCCTTGGGTAAATTCAGGTAAAATTAATTTAAATATATAAAAAAAACTCTTGCATATGTTTCACAAAATTCTTGAACATTTACTGTACCCATGATGATAATTCACTGTCACTCATGCTTATGTCTGAAAAAACTTTGAACTAGTAATATGCATACCTGCAAAAGTTCTGTTATTTGTACATAGGTTTCACCCTGCACATGCTTCTGTGGATCGCACTTGAAGAACTCCCGTGATTCCTTAACTAGTACTGCCTTGGCCTCCCTCATGATGTCTTCTGAATACTGTAAATATAATCTCCTTGCCACTTCTTGCTCCACAGTAAAGTTACCTGGAATATTGATAAACATTCATAGTAAATACTTGTTTAAACTGGTCCATAATCCAGTCATTTATTAATATATAATAACCCTTAAATTGCACCATTAAAAAGCCTCTATCATGGCACTCAGAAGAAATACTCCCCAAAATGTAGACAAATTCATATTTGGCAATTCAAGTTCTAGAGGTAATAATGGATAGTGATTTGAATGATTTGAACCATTTGAGAGTAAAGCTATGATATGTATAGTCTGTTTACCCTCATTGTAGATTCTAAGTAACATCCATGAAAATTCCTGCATTGCATATCCTCGAGCTTCAGTGAGTGCAAGCAACAGGTGGAGTCCATTTACCAGCTGCTGTGGTGACTGTTGCAGATTGCAGTTATTACTTTTCTGTAAATTTATTTAAAATAATATTATTCAATTAAACTTTTAAAAAGAATAGGGAAAGTGCTTCAGCAGTATGACACACACAAGGCAGAAGGATTTCAAGCTTACACAGCTACATTGTAGAGCAGAAAAAAATAGCTTTCCTTCAAACTAAAGAAATATAACAGTTTAAAATGCACAGAAAAACTCAGCTGGAAGAAAGGTGGTACCATCCACAAGCTGAAGACCTATTCCTGCACCAGAGATATGCTGGCAAGCAGGTAAGTAATAAAAATAATTATTTATAAAACCAGCGTTGAATGTAATGAAACGCCATTTTCTGGGTGAGTCCCGGAGGCTCCCCGGAGCTATCCAGGATGAATGGATATGTATAACTTTCTGGCATCAGTCAAAGTGCTAGGAGTTCTTGCCTACCGGGGACCACGAGACTGAACTTGGCCCCCTCAGAGAGGCACGGGGAGCCTATAGAAACCCCCTTGTGGTTGGGAGCATTCTATGTCTGCCATCGACTGGGATAGGCACCCAGAAAGGTAGGTGCCCCAAAACAAACCCCCTATTCTGGTGAAAATATTGCTACTGAAAGCCGAACGAGTGGACAGAACTCCCCAAACAAAATGATCAACCAGCATGACGTCATTACGTCACCGTGCCCCTGTCTGTGCCACCTTCCCCCCCCCCCCACTCCCCGAGATGGGAAAGGGGGAGCCCCAGACCCTCTGCACCGGCGATCCAACTTGCAGTTCTTAGGCTGGATGTCAAAATACGCGAAAAACACTGCCGACCGGAGGGAGGGAGAAATGTTGGGGAGCCTCCGGGACTCACCCAGAAAATGGTGTTTCATTACATTCAATGCTGGTTTTCTGAGGGGAGCCCTGTCGGCTCCCCGTAGCTACCTCACCACCAGTTAAGGAAAATAGGGAAGGATCCGGGAGGCGGATGCCACGCGCCCTAACCTAAAAAACAAGACCACAGACGAAACAAGGACCCTGCAGACCCAAACCCCCGTATAGGAATGAGAGAAGAAGGGAACACGAACAACCAAAACGCGTCCACGACCCCAGAGGCCAAGACGCGCAGAGAACAGTGAAAAAAACGCAACAGAACAACAAAGGAAGCACTCCCCCGGCCCGACCAACCAACCAGCAACCCAAAGACCAAAACGAGAAGAAAATAGACCACCTAGGCCAACGACCAGGACGACACCAGAACTCAAGAGCAGGCCGGAGGTGAAACAACGCCCAAGACAGCAAGCGCAACGGAGCAGAAAGAACCGCAACACCGAACACAAGCTGGAGCGGTTCCGCCAGCACCACCGAATACGAGGCGACAGTAAACGGTCCCAGACGACGGTGCCCGCACAACCTCAAAGGGAAGACAGGCCAACCCTATCAGAGACCAGAGGACCCTTTACAGTGATAGGAAAACTGGGAGGACCGCCAGGAAAACCACACACCGCCCCCGAGACGAAACACGCAGGGGGGAGACCAACAACGTCTCCAGTGCCAATACAAGCGACGAGAAATGAGAGACAAAAACCCCAGACACGAAAACTTGAGGGGAAGAACGAACCAGCCCTGTACAGAGTAGGACCTATCCGCAAAAAGAGGCGGAGCCGTGGGAAGACCCACCTGACTGGAACTGAGGTAAGCAGCAGGTCTTGCCAAGACATGCAAAAACCAAAAGGAACAGCCGCCAGGGAAACAAGGAACCCAACCGCAGCGAGCTGAAAAGAACCAACCCGGGGCGAACAGAAACCCCCCATCTGGGAGGAATCCCCCCCCCCCCCCAGGACCCCTAAAGGTCCAAGGCCAAACACCAAGGAGCCAGGGCCCAGGCAGAGGCCAATGAGGAAAACGAGCACCACAAACGAAAGCGCAAAGCGCGAATAAAAAAACAGCGACTGTGCAACCCAAAGGAGCAACATAACCAGCTCTAGCAGGGAAGAATGACGCATACGTCCCTGAGGCATCCATGAGGAGAACTACGCAGGACTTGAACCGCAGGAAAGCAAACACACCCGTTCCGGAAAAGGAACAAAGAAAAACAGGAGCCAGGACGGGAACCCAGCTAATTGTTCCAAGAAAGGGAACCAGTAAGGCAGGAGCAGTGGACTGAAAGTACACAACTCCCCACAGACAGTGCAACACCGAAGCCTGCAGTAAGTTGCAAAGAAAAAATGTAGAAACTCGGTACCAAAACAGAACACCGGGGTAGTTCAAAAGCAGGAAACTGAACATGGACAGAGGCCCACCCGAGCACCCAACATCAGGATAGTCAATAAGCAACGACCCAGAGACACAGTCAAGTGTAGCATAGGAGGAGGAAAAACGGAAAAAGGCAAGGAAAACTCCGAATACGGACCAAGGAGCGGCCGGGAAGCAATGCACACGACCAACCACAAAATGTGTAGTGGAGGGCGCACATACCCGAGGGACATCATGGATAGCTGGGTGCAGCCAGGCACCGAAGATAGGCAAGGAATGAGTGTCCAGATAGGGAAAAAAACCCAGGTGCCGACAAACGAAACCAAAAGCCCGAAATGCGGGGCAGAGCCCCACAGGACAACAAAGAACAAGCAACACGGACCAAGGAAATTCACTGAAGACACACGCAAGGAGACCAAACACAACACATCACACGTAACACCCCTGTTAGGAGCCATCGACGCAACCCCACCAAGCGAGGAAGAGACAGAGTAAACAAGGATGGGAGCAGTGACCAAGGGTGGCACATGCCAACCTTGTGGCATGTTTTTTACACGAAACAATGGGTATAAATTGGATAAGTATAGATTTAGGAAAGACTTGGGTAAATACTGGTTCGGTAACAGGTGTGTTGATTTGGGGAACCAATTACCGCGTAATGTGGTGGAGGTGGGGTCCCTCGATCGTTTCAAGCATGGGTTCGACATGTATATGAGTGGGATTGGGTGGATATAAAGAGGAACTGCCTCGTATGTGCCAATAGGCCTTCTGCAGTCACCTGCATTCTTATGTCCTTATGTTCTTATGCACAAGGTGACACAGAAGGTAGCTGAGTACCCAAAGGAGCCACAGACATGAAAAAAACCTGATCAATGTCAGAGGAGATAGGAAGCTGAAAGCACTAGGAAGCGACGTGGTGGAGGCAGACTCCACCCACAGGAGCAAACGTAGATAAGACAGAGCCCAGGAGACTCTGGAAACTGCACAACCATCGACCGACAGAAGGGCGGGGTCAAAGAGCCTGAGCTCAACCCCCGCAAGCACAACTAGGCAATCACCCCGCGAAAAGTCGAGAACCAGCACCCGACCAACAGAGGCGCCAGACATGACAATCTCACCTGCAGAGCAAAAACATGACCGTGCCACAACACAGTCGAGCCAAGTAACATACCAGGAGCATCGCTAGTGGTGTGCTCGAACACCATGCATTCTAGAGGCAGTAGGCATTGTATGAACTGTTACCTGAATAAAATATGGAAGTCCAAGGTGAAATATGTGCAGAGGTGCACGCCCAGCAGAAGACGAGGAGCAGTACAGAGGGGGAGGAGGCGGCACCACTCTGAGCCACCCCACACCCGGAAGCAGAGGAAAGAACGAAGTGACGCCCCCATATATAAAATCCAACACACCCCCAGCATCGAGAGGGCTACGATTGGAGGGAGAAAACGAGCAAGAAACCTAAAAAAAAACGCGAGAAATGACACGGAACACAAGAGCACACCGCCCAGAAACAAAACGCACACCCCGGCCCAGCATGCGAGGTACGAAACGCACCACCCAGCAACACATGTCGTACATACACATAACGTACAGACACATTATACACACACTGTACAAACACCAGGAAGGTGTATGTAACGAAGACGAGGAACGTCGAAACTGGAAGTAGAGACGACGCGAAAACAAAACAAGGCGAAACCGAAGCGAAAGAAGACAGAGGACGGAAGGGAGGTTATCTTGAGGTTATCTTGAGATGATTTCGGGACTTTAGTGTCCCCGCGGCCCGGTCCTCGACCAGGCCTCCACCCCCAGGAAGCAGCCCGTGACAGCTGAGTAACACCCAGGTACCTATTTTACTGCTAGGTAACAGGGGCATAGGGTGAAAGAAACTCTGCCCATTGTTTCTCGCCGGCGCCCGGGATCGAACCCGGGACCACAGGATCACAAGTCCAGTGTGCTGTCCGCTCGGCCGACCGGGAACCAACGACGCCGACAAAGGACCAGACGAAAACCACATCAGAAGTCAACAGACGTTCCAATAATATTGGAAAGTACGAAGACATGCGTGAACCAACGAGAACCACAACAAGTAAGCACAAACGCACGGAAGTACATATGAACAAAAATATACCCCTGATCAAGAGAGACGCAGGGACCCAATAGGAAGGGAACAGGATCGCGACATAAGCACGAAAAAGGTAAGGAAAAGGGGGCGAAACACACCCCCAGGAACTGCGGAACTGACAAACCCAAAGAGACACGGAACCAAACCCAGGGAGGGGTATACCCGAATCCAACATGAACACAGAGGGGGAAGGAACAACCCCACTCTGAGGACCTGCCAGCCCCTCACCGAGGGTACAAAGACTCAAGAGGGGCAAACGGGGCCTAGGGGCCCCCCAGGCAACCCCTCCCCAACCTCGGGAACCTCTTCGGCAAGACCCGGAGCCGAGCTGCACCCCTCAAAGCTCCAGCTTTACAAGGAAAAGCCGGGGCAGCTGTATAAACACTAAGGTAGGAAGCCCACTGGTCAGACCCATATGGCATGGCTGGAAGAACCGACTCAAATGCCTCCGCCGCCACCCCGAAAGAGGAAAACCCCCCCCGAGACAGTCAGAGTCTCAACCCAACCAGATCCCGCTCCAACCTCGAAACCTGCCTACGGTTCGGAGCCCGAAGCAAGGTAGGAAGTGTGCAGAACAGAAGGGAAAGGACGAGGAGCGGAAGGAGCTAGAGCCAAAGCGACCCCCACCCCCAAGTCCAGACCCCAACAACCAAAACGGAGCAGCCTTGGGGCAT